TCGCCACTGCTCCTGCGACATAGCTCTGAGAGTCGCAGGGTCCACGACAAAGTCACCCCGGGATACCACCTCCAACACCACTCGCTTCAATCCTGAGGCCAAACCACCATCTGAGACTTCTCTTCCCATTGGCTCTCCAGGTTGCGCCCGCTTGTCCTTCAAGACCTCCATGTTGTAGTTGGTGATGATCTCGGTAGGCCTCGTCACTGCCAATCCAAGTGCTCCTTGATCACAAAGCACCCGATCCATTGCAGTCGCCACCAAGAACCTTTCCCCCAACCTCACTTGCTGCTGCCCATAGCTGTACTCACCCCAGTTCAGGTTTCGCTCTGGTCCCGACCACACAAAACCAGTCTTCTCTTCAGGGTGCTTCGACGCTAGCCTCGCCAAGCAGTACAGCAACTTCACCTGGGCAGACTTCACGAAGACGGCCTCATCCTGAGCAGGACCATGTGCCCCACCGGCCACAATGCATTTCAGCTTGCCCTTGACCGCAGCCCATAGCAAGGCCTGGTAGACATCCTGCTCAATGTTACCAGCCACCTTCAACACCATACGTCCCTCCTGCTCCAAGACCTTCAGGAAGCCATCCTCATGTTCATGGGCAGGAAGATGCAGGATCCACTCGGGCGCCTGCAAGAAGGACTTCTTGACCCGTCGGGGAAGTGGAAGGGCCTTCAGGTAGTCCCAACCCTTTGCCAGGTTCAACTCCAAACATAACCTGGTCCTCAAAGCCTCAGGTAGCTCCCCAAACACAGGCCCCATCAACGCCTTCCAGAGAGCATTTCTCGATCCTGAAGCCACATAGTCGTCGAGATGCGTAGTCCACGGTGCAGTGTTAGCGCCCACCTTCAGGGCCTCCAACTTCATCTGCAAGGTTTGCACCTCATCCCGAAACTCTTGAAGCTTGGCGTTCTCCACCTGCTCGATGATCTTGTCAGCCACCGCCATGGTGAGCTCCGGACATCCAGCCTTCACGCTGGTTCGCAGCACCCCAAGTGTTGGGTGCACAATCTTCAAGCCCTTTCGTCCCCAAGATATCTCGCAACCAGCACGAACGAGGTCTCCCATGGGCAACAAAGGCTGAGTCGTTGTAGATGGTGTGAGTATAGATCCCGCTGGCGTCTGGTAGAGCTGAGTCCTCTCGTTGTTGGCCAGCACCACACTCACCTGGTTTGCATCCTGAAGCTCATGAGGATCTCGAGGTTGTCGAAGAATGTTCGTAGCCCCAGAGTCAATGAGCACCGTTGGCACATCCAGCTCTGCCTTGAACATCCGAGGATCTCCTCCACGAGGTCGCACCACCACGTCTTCAACCCTCAAGGCTCTCAACCGAAGCTCATCCAGCTGCCTCTGGATCGATGCCAATCCCGGATGTCCTCCTCCAGCTCCTTCTCCCACCAAAGACCTCAGAGCTTGCACTGCATCAGTCATCGCAGACTGGAGCTCAGAGTTGGGACTCGACGCTGAGGTTGTCGTGGACACCGGTGATGTCGGCTGTGGCTCCGGTTCCGACACCATGCTTCTAGCTGCAGGCTCCTCCTTCGCCCGACTCGGTTGGCTGTGGCCTCCACCACCGCCCTTTCCACCTGTAGAACTCGAAGGTCTCGACGCCAAGGCCTTCGTCGGACAATCGGCTATGTGTCCTTCACCTCCACATTCAAGGCAACGCCCACGCTTGGAGATCCCTTCGAAGGAGTGCTTGAAGCGACACGTTTTCCCTCGGCGACATCCTTCAGAACTTTTGGCGAACCACGGACAAATCTTCTGCTCGCCATCCTTTCCTTTTCCAAAGGCTTCTTTCCCTTTGCCTTTTCCCTTGTCTCGCTCTCTGTCCTTGCCCTTGCCCTTGTCCCGATCCTTGTCCTTGTCGCGGTCTGTAGCCCCATCCTCAACCTGCATAGGCTTGGCCTTAGGCTCTGCACCGCGACTACTTCTCATCACCATCACACCCGCCAGCGTCTCCATCTCCGCCTTGAGGTGCTGCTGGTACTGCATGACAGTGGCCAACGTAGGCGACGTGTCAACCATCAAAGTGTTCTTGACCAGGGATGTCCGGAATGCAGCGTCTGCATTCTTCTGCAGCACGCCCGCCACGATCACCGACAGCCCTCTAGCCAAGATCATCGGATCTGGGCAAGTGACAGCGATACCTTGAGCTCGCTGCATCCATCTCTCCCACTGACGCAAGGCCCGCACTGCCTGCTCTGCATCTGCCGCCTTGGTAGTCTCCGTCAACGACTTCAGGAGGTGCAGCTTCTCGGACTCGCCCCCCGGGCAGTACTGAACATACAGCCGGTAGACGCACCGCACTGCGAGTACACTGCCTCGCCACCAAGTCTCTCCGGACTTCCGGTGCCAATGCTGCCAGCAACATTCCAGCAGCTCGGGCATTGACACGAGCGTACCGCCCGTCGTCCAAATCCATTCCAGATGGCCCTTGCATAGCCAACCTCTGGTAGGGCGTACTTGCCACCCACTTCGCGTAGTGCAACGAGACCTCGCTTTTGACGGCCTCCCACCAAGCACCACTTCCATCACTGAGGTCTCGCATCGGCCCGTCAATCAGCTCCATCCAGTCTTGAATGACGACCGGGCTATCCTCAGCGCCAGGAGGATCCAATGCCGGCAAAGCTGCAATCCCAGGCTTCACCTGCTCCGGCTGACCCACCTTCTGGTTCATCATGTTCAGCTGTGCCTGCTGGAGCTGCTGGATACCTGCGGCCAGCATTCCAACCAGTCCCGGCTGATCTCCGATCCCTCCACCAAACGAGGAACCGCCCACATTTCCAGCCCCAGAACCAGCCGACTGGTTCGGGCCACGAGTTGCACTCCTCGGCAACTCCCCTGCACTTTGCGGTCCACCTCCATACGCTTGAGGACCTCCAGGTGCTTGAGGAGCTCCAGGAACTTGGCCAACTCCCGACACACCACCACTTCCAATCTGCTGGTGCCCTCCAGGTAGCTGAAAACCTTGTGGAACTTGAGGAACGCCAGGTAGCTGAGGACCATGTGACCACGTGGACCTCCCGTAACGCCAGGTAGCTGAGGACCTTGTAGACCTCCCGAACCACCATGTAGCTGAGGCCCTTGTAGACCTCCCGAAACACCAGGTAGCTGAGGACCTTGTAGACCTCCCGAACCACCAGAAAGCTGAGGACCTTGTAGACCTCCCGAAACACCAGGTAGCTGAGGAGGACCTCCCAAACCACCAAGAAGCTGAGGCCCTTGTGAACCTCCCGAAACTCCATGTAGCTGAGGACCTTGAGGAACTTGAGGAACGCCAGCTCCAGAAAGACCGCCTTGTGCTCGAGATGTCCCGTGAAGTGAGCTACCTCCTCCATGAGGTACTCCGTGAAGTGGATCATCCCCTGGCACCTGAGGACCTCCTGGAACTCGACCAACTCCCTGCTCGGCCTCGCCCCCAGACTGTCTCCCAAAACCAGCATTCATCAGCTCTTGTACCTGTCGTCGCAAAGCCACCACCTCGGTCTGCACCTGGTCTCTGCGATCCCTCATGTACTGTCCCAGCTGACGTTGCACTTCAACCCGAATTTCTGACGAACCCGTAGACCCTTGCGACGTTTGTTCTCCATGAAGTAGAGGTCCACGAGAAGGCCAACTGTTCATTCTCTCCACCGCCCTCTGGTCAAACAACGCGGAGTGACCCCCACCTTCCACGTGCTGGGTCATCACCTGGAGCTCTTCCGGCGGGGAGAAATTCCAAGGCGATTGCCTGGCTGCCGACTGCGGTGTTGCTGCTACGGCTGCTGCTCTGCTGCTGTGGCTGCGGGGCGTTCCCGGGGCCTGATTGGGTGTTAGTCCTAAAGACCCTAACATCCTATCCCCTAAACCACCACCACCAGTCGTCGTCGCTCGCAGAAAGTCTGTCAGCCTTGTCATCCATCCATATGCGCCCGTTCCAGTCTGGACATACCTCATCTCCAGCCCAGTTGTACGCGACGCAGCTGTCGGCGAACCAGCATTCGCAGTGCCTTCCATGGCGGTCTGCACCGTCTGCACTGCACCAAATCCTTCGGCTGCCACTGCAGTCTCCAAGCCACCATTGCTGGACTCCAAAACCCTAGGTTGCTCCACCACTGGCCAGTTGTCATTGCCCAGGTCCATTTCCAGGCCACCAGTAACACCAGGGTCTCCACTGCCCAGCACACCACTATTTGTCTGCCCATCGGCAACAGCAGGTGTACTCAGGTCTCCACCCTGAACCGGTCCCACAACAACTGCACCAGTCCCAATTGCACCAGCACCATCTGTACCAGCACCAACTGTCAAAGATCCGTAGTTCGGCCCAGCTGTCTCACCAACCACCGTAGGGGAACTCAATAATCCAGCGGTTGCGCCCAGGCCGCTTGGGCTCATAACCTCAAGAGCGCGGGGCTCTTGAGGTCCAGCAAACGACATAGCAGCTTGGCTTGGCTCTGGCTCGGCTTGTACTCCTTGTACGAACACAGCTTCACCACCAGAGGCTCCCTTTTCCTCACACTGCAGCACCGAAGTCCATCGGCCAGTCAGGCGGTCCTACCTCTACCACGGAAAGGCGACCACACAACACGCGACCAGAACAACACACACAACAGAACATGCGACCTGTTGCCTGCATGTCTGTGCTGCAACTGCTTCTTGTGTTCCGATGCCTACGGCATGTCCTGGAACCAACAAAGCCAAAGCAACAGGTGCATCTCATTCCACACCTTTCATCATAGGGTTTAGGGTTTAGGGTTTAGGGTTTAGGGTCGGCCATGAGTGCAATTACTCTTGCGGCTTTTCTGTTCTAAAGCAAAGCGCAAGAACATCTTGCAAGTTCTGCTCGTCAAGTATCGCTGCACTTCGGTGCACCCAGCTATGCGGGAGAGAAAAAGAACCCCAAATCTAGATCTCGAACCCTACAACCCTGAAAACCCTAAAGCAGAAACCCTAAACCCTAAACCCTAAACCCTAAACCCTAAACCCTAAACCCCATTTCCAGCCCAACAAACCAGGCCGGGCACGACCCGCTATGCTGCCTGGCAGCGGCGAGGGGACACTGCGGCCCTTGGTGAGAGGCACCTTTTCGGAGGTTTACTGTTCAGGGTTTAGGGTTTAGGGTTAGGGTTTAGGGTTTAGGGTTTAGGGTTTAGGGTTTAGGGTTTAGGGTTTAGGGTTTAGGGTTTAGGGTTTAGGGTTTAGGGTTTAGGGTTTAGGGTTTAGGGTTTAGGGTTTAGGGTTTAGGGTTTAGCGTGAAGGATTTACCCGAACGAGCCCAATACCCCTTAATTAAGGGACAGACCTTCAAGTAAAAAGGGATCCTTAGTATGATGCTCGGTATATTTCCTAACTAAGCGGTATTGGGCTATTTGGGTACAAGCGCCGATAGTTGAACTTGAAGCCTTTTAGCGTTTAGGGTTAGGAACTGCTTGGCAGCCCAGTGGTACCCTTTTCCCTTTCTTTGTGGTTCATGGTTCCCGCATGGATAATATGGTTACTGGGCTAGCAAGAGTATACTGACTATACAAGTCTAGCCTTTTTGTATTCCTTGGTTCTGGGAGTTGTCCTCGGAATTAGGCTTCTGGGGCCTTAAGGTCCACCGAACTCAGCAGAACTTGATGCCCAAGCCCTAAACCCTAAACCCTAAAGCCTAAACCCTAAACCCTAAACCTTTTAAACCCGATTCCCAGCTTCTTCCCTTCCAGCCTCCGCGAGGCTGTACAACGACGCCGCAAAGCGGGCTCTGAAGATGCGACATCTGCAGGACCCGGAGAGCCCAATACCCCTTCATTAAGACCAATGTGCCTTGAATGATATTAATTAAGGGTCCCTACATAAGATTATACCTGAATCATATGAAGGATCCCTACTACATAAGCTAAGGGATTCTACCTGAAATCATACTAAGGGCCCCTATATGAATCATAAGGTCTATTCCTTGTTTAAGGGCTATTGGGCTCTTTGGGGAGCTGCTTGGGTGTTCGTCTCTGTGGCAGGGCCGGGTTAAAAAAAAAAAAAGTCTGGATGGGGGTTTCGGAAGGTAGGGGATACCTTCTTGGGGTCCATGTGATAAGGAAATCATACTACTTTAGGGTCTAGCCCTAAACCCTCCACCCTACACCCCTATTTTCGTAAACCCAGATGAGGAGATGCAGGAGGAAGAGCGGAGGCTGCAAGAGCAACAGGAAGCCACGCCTGAGACTTGGAGACCACGGCTGTTCAAAGGGGCACAAGGAGGGTTAGGGTTTAGGGCTTAAAATTTGGGTTTAGGGTTTAGGGTTTAGGGTTTAGGGTTCAGGGCAATGTAGGGGCTACTTGCGTATATAGGGACTATATCGGGTAGCTATAGGGGAATTTGATTCAGGGTCCCTCCAGTATACCCCTTAACTGTTTGTACCTTAGGGGGCCGGTGGTGCCCTTTTTCGTTATTTTGGCTCAAGGCCCCCTGATAAAGCAGCCAACCCGACAAGAGGCTACCCTTCCTACAACATGGTTGCTGGGCTACCAAGAATCGAGAACTACCCAACTCCTTCAACTCCACCCTAAACCCTAAAGCCTAAGCCCGGGAGCAGCTCTTCGCCCCCGGCCCCCACCCCCCCCCCTCTTCAGGCAGACCTCTGCACAAGAAGTTGAGCCCAAGGGTTCCCCGAAAAGGCCAAACCCCAAACCCTAAACCCATCATAGGAGCCCCCGAAACGGCCTAAACCATGTGTGAGCTTGCGAGCTTTGAGCGCTCCAAGATGTGCGCGCGGGGTTTGGGGTCTAGGGGGGGTGTAATATAGTATGCATATAGAGGCCATAAGGGAATACTAGTAGAAATTAATATTCCGACCGCTATACTAACTAGATACTAATAATTTTGGCCGCCCCAACTCCCCAACACAAGATGCAAAGGTGCTTACCTTTGGGTTTAGGGTTTAGGGTTCAGGGTTCAGGGTTTAGGGGCCCAAGAACCCTAACAAAAGAGTCCTTGGAGCATGAAACCCTAAACCCCAAACGAAGCGCCAGGATGTCGAGGTCGTGGGGTTTAGGGTTTCGGGTTTGGGGTGTAGGGATTCAACGGTGACCCCTTCTGGAGCACCGCGTGGTCAACCCCGGACTTGAAGATTCCACAGCGCCGGACGCCATGCTTCGAGCAGACGACTGCAGAACCTGAACCCTTATATGCTCCCAAACCCCCGGAATGAGGGCCCTATAAAATCCCTTACGGGGCATATATAGGGCCCCAATTCCCTCATTCTTCCGAAGAACCAGCCTGAAGCCTAAACCCAGAACACTTCTCCCCAAACCCTGACCTCTACCCCTAAACCCTAAACCCCTGAACCCGTGAATGAGGTTCCGGCCTGCGATCGAGGCCACGACCGCCATCCGCCCCCCCACACCCCCCCAGCCCTGGCTTCTTTACTCTCTGGGGTTTAGGGTTTAGTGTTTAGGGTTTGCTGTTGTGATAGGGCGTAGATGCTGTGAAGGTTAGGTTTTGGAACAAGCCCGAAAGCTTCGTGAGGCGCGAAGAGCAGCTTTGACCCGATTGTGGAAGGCCATCCCACATTTTTCTCCCACCCCACGCCGTCCGAGGCGGCAAAGCCACCCAAACCTATTCCTTTTAGGGTTTAGGCCTAAACTCAAGCCAACTTCTTCATTCCGTCACGGTGGTCGCCAGCCTGGTTCAGGTTCACAAAAAAAGCCACAGGCAGCAGGGCAGAAAGGCCCAGATGGGCCTGGGCAACCATAGAAAAGGGCTGCAAGGCAGGTCGCGCAAAAACAGCTTTTTCGAGCACCCACCCCTTGGGCACGCTGCGGCGAGGGGTCCGGGACCCAGGGGGGCGGCCTAGCCCCTGAGTTTCTTCTGGGGTTTAGGGTTCAACTTCAGGTCATTCGGGGCAAAGCGCTACTCTTGTGCACAAGGGAGGCGATGTTTGAGGGTGATTCGGGTGATTCGGTCTGCGGGCTAGGGTTTAGGGTTTAGGGTTCAGGATTTAGGATTTTAGGATTTAGGACTTCTATTATTTGCTGAAGAACCCCCCTCAAAAAATATAATCACTATATCATAGGGGTCGGAAGTCGGAATGGTTACTGAAAATGTTCCCTGATGGTCCCTTTAGAATTATGCTATCATAACCCCCAAAACACCGTGCCCTTCGATCAACGTGTTTTGTTGTCTGTTCAGTTGCGGCAGATGTAAAATGCTTTGCGACGGGGACTTGCCAGCCATGCTTGCCGTGGCAGATCTGCCGTACATGACCCGACAGCTCACAAGTCAACGACAAGGAAGAGACTTGAGACCCAAAACAAGTGCCGTGCCCGGTCACCTAGGTCAGCCCCCCCTAGTCGGGGCTTTAATGACAAGGAAGCTGTGTTCTGGTGCTATTCTAATAGAATTGTATAGGGATTATAAGGGAATACGATCCTAAACCCTACCCCTAAACCCTAAACCCAAACCTTAGACCTTAGACCTTAAACCTTAAACCTTAAACCTTAAACCTTAAACCTTACACCTTACACCTTAAACCTTAAACCCTAAACCCTAAACCCCAAACCCTAAACCCCAATCCTAAACCCTAATCTCTAAACCCGAGTGGTGATTATTCCGAGCCCCTATGGTATGGTGGCCTCGTCGCAGGCTTCGCAGCGCAGATGTCAGGGGACATCTAGGCCCAGGGTTTAGGGTTCAGGGTTCAGGATTTAGGGTTTCGGCCAGCTGCATCAGCGGTTGGCTGGCGTTCAGGGTTTTTAGGTCTTTTGGTGACATCTGCTCCCCTGAATACCCCTCAAATGAGGAAGATACCTTAGATTCTATAGATTTCTATAGGGATCCTTAGTCTTAGTATGATTTAAGGTATATTCCCTTAATGAATGGGTGGTGGGTTCTCTGGGTGCTTGGGATCTGCGTTCAGCGTTTCGGTGGTTAGGGTTTAGGGTTTGGGGTTCTGGGTTCTGGGTCTGGGGTTTAGGGTTTAGCTCAAAAGGGTTTAGAGTTTAGAGTTTAGGGTTTAGGGTTTAGGGTTTAAGGTTTAGGGGCGTGAACTTCTTTGTAGATTGTGCTTGGCGTGCAGGGGTCGCTGCGCAATTTTGCAGTTCGCATACTTGGAGTTGCCCAAAGAGCCCGATTTACCCCATATAGGTCGCTGCGCAATCTTGCAGCTTGCATACATGTAGTTGCTCCAAAGAGCCCAATTTACCCCTCAAATAGGATATATATATATATACATATATATATATATGTATACCTTACAGGATATAGGGGATCCTCATTATGATTTCAGGACTGACTATTCCCTAATTAAGGGGTAGTGGGCTCTCTGGGTGTGCGCGGAGGATTCATCCGCTCCGTGGATGTTTGTTGCCTGTTGATTCCAAGGTCTCTTCAAGATCCAGAAGGTCTGAAGAAGAGGCCAGCTACAGGGTTTAGGGTTTAGGGTTTAGGGTTTAGGGTTCAGGGTGTTCAGGGTTGAGACATGCTTCGTACTGGGACTTGAGATTTTGTGAAGGGTTCGCCCTACCAGTCGAAGCAGGCAGCAGTGCTACAAAAAGACTTGCGCGGTTTAGGGTTTAAGGTTTAGGGTTTAGGGTTTAGCATGCAAGGCTACTAGCTCGGTCTCGGGCCAGGAATCCCGGAATATCTCCCTCTAGGACCCTTTGAGGGATGTTCCCAGAGAGCCCAATACCCCTGAATCAAGGAATATACCTTATACTTGAAGGTATATTCCTTAACAAGGGGTATTGGGCTCTCTGGGAACATCCCTTTCAAAGATGTTGGAGGACACCTAAAATCCCGATGTTTCGGCCTGACCTTCCCTATAGAATCTGAGGGAAGTCACACGGTCCGTTTTGTTAGTGGCAATTTTTTCTTTTTTTTTTTTTTTTTTTTTGGGGGGGGGGGGGGGGGGGAGCCCTCAATAATATGCTCCTTTGTATAACCTGTTTAAACCCAAGGGACTCCTCGTTTCCGTTGAAGTACCCAAAGACTCAATACCCCTCAGAGTAGTAGGGAATGTACCTCAAGTTCTATTCCTACTACCACCCTCTACGCTACCCCCCCGCCCCCCCCCGAGGATCCTTAACATGATTTAAGGTACAGTCCTTATGAAATAATGGGTAGTGGGCCTGAGGTAAGGTTAAGGCGTTCGGGGTGCCGATGCGGCTTGTGTGGAGGTCCAGGGATTCCCACGTCCCGAAGAGAGACTCCTTACATGTTGCAAAGTCTTTAGAGGATTCCTATTGTTAGGGTTTGGGTTTAGGTTCAGGGTTTAGGATTAAGGGTTTAGGCGGTTTAGGGTTTAGGGTTTAGGGGGTTAAGGCGTTCAGGCGGATAAGGGTTCAGGGTTCCTATTCCAAGTTAAGGTTCCTCACTCCAATCTTCCCTTGATGGCCCATGTTCGGCTCCCTGTTGCAACTTACCCTTCGCCCAAGACCCTACAGGGATATGGGCGGATCGGTGGAAGTTGGGAAGAAGATGCAAGTAAAGCTCCAATGGCCGGCCTTGCAGTGTGAACAGGATTAAGGGTCCCTTCTGGTCCTGATACCCCTGAAGAAGAAGATGGAAGCAAAGATCATGGCAGAGTCCCTAAGTTAGGGTCGTAATCGGGTTTAGGGTTTAGGGTTTAGGGTTTAGGGTTTAGGGTTTAGGGTTTAGGGTTTAGGGTTTAGGGTTTAGGGTTTAGGGTTTAGGGTTTAGGGTTTAGGGCGGTTTAGGGTTGAGGGCGGTACCCAAAAGCCCCTTGCGAAAGGGCTTGCAGTTTGTTTTCAGGGCATCTCAAGCAAGAAGGCCCTAATGCAGAGGACGTATCCTACCAATTGCAATATTCTTCCTTATGAGGGTAGTATAGTGATTCTTATTTTACCTCAAGCCCTAAACCTTAAACCCTAAACGGGGTTCTTAAGCAAATAGTAGTGTCATGTCTCGTCCGACGGCCGCAGGATGAAGATGGAGAGGCTGCGCAACATGCAGGAAAAGGCGGAGCTGGATGGCGCGAGACCTGGATTTTGTTGGGTTTGAGTGGGTTTAGGGTTTAGGGTTTAGGTCACACTTGCTTTGTTTGGGGATGCACCAGGCTGCAACGCATCACCGGGAGGGCAGGCGCTTGAGGTGGGGCGGTGAAGTATCCGGAGGTTCTAAGTCTGGCGTGGTCGGTGGCAAAGATCAGAGACCGTAGGCTCAAAATATCCCAAACCCTTGTATAATCAGTGGGCTCAAGAACCCCAACATAATAGTCCTAGGAGCCTTAAATTGTGCAGAGCTTTCCTGCTGTAAGGAACACAGCCTCTTCCGCAAAAAGCTTCGCAGTCAAGCAAAATGCATTTAGGGGGTTGAAGGAGGAACCCCTATATTTTAGCCAAGTCACTCTCAGCCCCACGGGGCTTTCGAGAACAAAGTGCATTTAGGGGGCGCAAGGAGGGACCCCTATATACCTAACTAACCCGTACAATAAGCCCCACAGAACCCCTAATTAAGGTACCGACAGCGTGTTTGTACCGGCGGGGTGCTGGGAAGAGCTTGAGACAAGGCACCAAAAATCACCCTGAACCCTACACCCTAAACCTTAAGCACAAATCGAGAAGTGTACCCAAGAAACCCTAAACCCTAAACCCCTAAACCCTAAACCTGTGATCTCAGAGCCCTAAGGCTGCACCTTCAAGCCGGAGATCGACCAGAAGTCGGAGGAGCTCATCAGCCAGCGCCTGGCGCGGCTGAAGATCACCTCGACTCTGTGACCCCCCCCCCACCCCCAGAAAGCACCCCCCAAAAAACAAAAAAAACAAACTATATGTATATATACATACACATACATATATACACATAAATACACATATGTACACACATATACAAAAAACAGATATGGTATAGAAATATATTTACATACATAGATTCTTCCTGTCGAGGGCAAAATAGGGATCATTATCTTAATTTTTCGGGTTCTGAATCAAGAGAGTTGAAGGGCCCTGGGCTTCGGCAGGTACGACTCCCTCTACGAGGATGCCATCCGCAGACGCGAGCGGCATCTGGAATCCCTGCGAGCCGCGGACTTGAAAGGGAGGGCTTCTTTAAGGGATGACAAAAGGATCGCAGAGTCCTTGTCATCGTAGTAGTGGTCGTGGTAGTGGTAGTAGTAGTAGTCGTCGTCGTCGTCGTCGTCGTCGTCGTCGTCGTCGTCGTCGCCGGCGTCGTCGTCGTCGTCGTCGTCGTCGTAGTCGTGGTGCTGCGAGGAGCAGGAGCAGCAGCAGCCGTAGAGCGGTAGTTGTGCCAGGGCAGGAATGTGAGTCGGTAGCAAATATCGGTAGTATGTGTTATTCCCGTGTCTGCACCTGCACGCCGGACCTCAATTTTTGTTTGCGCTGTGCTGCCTCCAAGGCCCTACCGCCTGGTGTGACGTTCCAGCCCGACATTGGTATGGACCGGGCTTCCCGCCCTAAGAGGTACACCGGTCACCGGCCTATCGACCTACACCCTTGACATTTGAGATCACATGCAAGTAGGAGGCGGCCCTGTGCAGCTGTGAGCATGAGGCGGCATCAACCATTCCTGGCCCCTGCAATCGCCAGAACTCTTCGGTGGGTGGCGGCTCCGACTGTTAGCTGGGGATCCCCTGCAAGGAAACGGCGACACGTAGTAAATGCCGTCATGCAGACGCCGGAGCTAATCATGCCCGTATCACCACTTGAACAAAAAATGAAAACCTGAGATTCGCCACCTTGTGCAAATCTCTCGCAAGTCTTCAGCAATGGAGATACCCAAAAATCTTGCAGATGATGTGCTCTTGCGGCTTGGCTTTGTCAACCACCAAACTTCAAAACATTTCAAAGCCCTGAACTGACACAGTACATGCTACATCCTGCTATTTGCCCGAGACTGCAGGACCATTACCGGCCCCCGAATGACGAGACGAAGGAGGAGCAGACGTGCCAAGGGAATGCCAGGGGTTCGGGGATCTTCGTGATTGCCTGCTGCGCTCCAGGAGACAAGCTTATACCCTAAACCTTGGGATGTTCCCGCTTATACTAACAGCCCTTAACAGGGATGATAATAGGGTGTACTATGATCCCTTTTAAGGACTGTTCGTCTAAGGGGGAACACCCCAACCTAACCCTCAAACCCTTCCGGCCAGCTTACGCAGGAGGGAAAAAACCCTGAACTTCAATGTAGGGTTGGTCTTGCGTGGCGAGAACCTCGGGGAGCGCACGGCAGAGAGAGAGAGAGAGAGATAGAGGGAGAACGAGAGAGAGAGAGAGAGAGAGAGAGAGTAGGGTTTCATACCGCCAGACAGAGCGGCGGGCCAGAGCGGCCGGGGGTTCCCCTTGGGGGGGCTCTCTTCGCTGGGTAGAAGAAGAAGAAGAAGAGTATAGGGTTTGGGGTTTAGGGTTTAGGGTTTACTTTAGGGTTTAGGGAGTAGAGGGAGTAGAGGGTTGAAGCCGTCCCGCGTCCCAGAGTGCGCGTCGAAAGCCGGGCTGCGGCCTGGGTGCACGCCTCTGCAAAGTTGCGGCGAGAGGTGCTCCATCCCTTCGCCTAGGTACTACGTTTGCTTAAGAACCCCCCCGCCCAAAAACCCCTAGATTGCCCCTATGGTGTTTAGGGATGCTTTCGCCTAGGTACTACGTTTTGCTCAAGAACCCCCCCCCCTCCCACAAAAAAGAAAAAAGAAAACAAAGGAGATAGTACCCCGTATATAGCATGCCCTTGTAAGGAAGAGTAAGATAGCACTCCCTACAGGTTCTGCCCTTATCAGGACGAGTATTCTGTAGATTTTGGGTGGTCCTTAAGCTCGGGCAGGGGTTCTGGGACATGCTTTTGTTTTCCCTTATTGGGTTTAGGAGGCTCGTACTTGTAGGAATTTCTTTCAGAGGGGTTAAGGGCCATCCTAGTAGCCGAACCACAATGAAACATTTGCATTTTTACCTATTCTTCATGGAGAGTTGGGAAGTTATAACTCTGCAGAGATTATTCGATGTACCTGGTTCCTTCATTCCCTGCTATGGCTTTGCATCCCGTACACCAACCCCAAACCCTAACCCCCCCCCCCCCGCCCTTCTGCGATCACCAACCCCGACTTGGACCTTCACCCAAACCCTAAACCTTTTCCCTAAACCCTAAACCTTATATGGGTTGCTGGTCTCTTTAAGTAGGGATTCTGTTTTATAGGGCACATAATTGGGGTTCTTATTAGGGTATTTAAGGGCTATATTAAGGTATAAGGGTGACAGATAAAGAGGCCACCGGCCTTTAGAACCTAAACCGTCTCGCTGCAGGACTTCCTAAATCGCCTCGCCTACTCGAAGAGCTATTCTGAGAGCCAGGTGCTGAAATCGCCTCTGCAGACACAGGGTTTACGCTCAGGCCTTCAGTTACGGAGTAGAGTTTAGGATTTAGGGTTTAGGGTTTAGGGTTTAGGGTTTAGGGTTTAGGGCTACATCTGACGAAGCTTTGGCAACCTAAAGGCCCTTCAAGTTGGGCAACTCATAGGTCTTTCCAAGAAATATTCAACATACCCCTTGGGCATACCCCTTAAAAGAAACTACGGTTTTTTTTGTAAACGCCTTCCTTATCTTCTCCTTTTTCATGTTGAATTAGAGTCTTCGGGTTTGGAATAAATCTTGGAAAGAGCCTCACCTTTCCCTAAACCCTAAACCCTAAACCCTAAGCCCTAAACCCTTTAGCTGCACTGGAGGGAGCCTCCGCGCTTCTCCCTCATGCTCTATCCCAAACCCCAAACCCTAAACCCCAAACCCTAAACCCTAAACCCTAAACCCTAAACCCTAAAGCTAAACCCTAAACCCTAAACCCTAAACCCTAAACCCTAAACCCTAACTAAACCCAAACCCAAACCCTAAACCGTGGTACTTTACCGTAACTTTAGATCCTTACCTCTTTTGGGTTTATTGGGTTTCTTAGTAAGGCAGCTAAAAGTTTAATTTATAGCTACCCCCCTAAACCCTAAACCCTAAACCCTAAACCCAAGTTTTCTTTGATCACCCGAGGATGGCTTTCCTTGCGACGTCAGGCGCAGGAGAGCAGCTTCCGGTCAAGGGCCCTGAACCCCAAGAGACCCCCCAAGAAGCCTCTAAAAAAGGAAAACCGGGTTTAGGGTTTAGGGATGTTTAGGGTTTAGGGTGTAGGGTTTAGGGGTTAGGGCTTAGGGTTTAGGGTTTAGGGTTTAGGGTTGAGGGTACCTTAATGTATCAGGGATCCTCAAACATGACCTTAAGGTAATTATATTCCTGAATTCAGGGGGTTTCAAGGGCCCTCTGGGCAAGCATTTTGCTGCGAACGGGCGAGGGGCGCATGTGTGCTGCGTTCAGGTCTCTTGGGCCTAAACCCCATAAGGTAGCTGCCCTTTTACTCCTTTAACCCTAAACCCTAAACCCTAAACTCAGGGCCTAGGCCGCCCCCCTACGTTGGGGGGCGGCGCTTAAGCCCTTTGACCTCGCTGGCACAAGCCCCAGGTCGCTCGCCCCTCCCACAGCATGGGGGTCGGTAGCCACTTTCTCAGAAACCCTCGAGTGATGACTTTCAGGGCCCCAGCTCCCGGACCCCTCACCGCAGCGTGCCCAAGGACCAGGGGCCTCAGACCAGACCCCCCCTGGGCCCCCTACCCCCCTGGCCCTCCGGACCTCCTGGGCCTGGACGGCGTGGTGGGAGAAAAGTGTTCGATGGCCCTCCATAATCGGGCCAAAGCTGCTCTTCGCACCTCACGAAGCTTTCGAGCTTGTTCCGAAACCCAACCTTCACAGCACCTACGCCCTATCACAGCAAACCCTAAACCCTAAACCCTAAACCCTAAACCCTAAACCCTATACCCTATACCCTAAACCCTAAACCCCAAACCCTAAACCCGATCTCACCTGAGAAATCCCTGCTTCTGTCCGCACACGCACGGTGCGATTGTCGAGGACCGAGAGCAGCCAGAGTGGGGAGCTCATTGTGTCCAAGTGTGAACGTCAACCCCCCAAGGTAGGGTTTAGTGTTTAGGGTTTAGGGTTTAGAGTTTAGGGATTAGGGATACTTGGAGGTTCATGGGTATAAGTACCTTGAGTGGGGTTAGAAGAATAATTACGCTACTTAGAACCCTACTTGTAGATACCCATGAACCTGCAAGTAGGGTTTAGGTGTTTCTGGGTTTCCCAGCTCCTGGTTCAAACGGGTTGGGGGTTTGACGATCTGGGGTTGGGAAGCGTATGTAGGGTTTAGCTATGTTCGTTCGGAGTGTCTTTGCACACATCAGCTGGTTTAACGGCCCACTTGACTGGTGCCGCACAGGCAAAGATCCGAGGGGTCGCAAGATTCATAGGACTTATCGGATTTACCGGGTTTCTATTGGGCCTGCAGGGGTTGTAGGGTGGGAACCCTAGAAACCCTTAACCCTAAACCCTAGAGCACCCTGAAACCCCGAGAGCCGTTTTGCCGTGAATGCCGAGGTTTCACCCCCAGACAGGAAGAGGCCCGCTGGTGGCTACTGCCTCGGCTTTTGGCAGGGTTTTAGGGTTTGATGAGGGTTTAGGGGTTGCAGGGTTTTGGGCTTAGGGTGTTAAAGGGTTTGGGGTCTGCCTTATCTTATCGGCTTTTGACAGGTTAGGTTTTGCAGGCTTTCGGGTTTAAGGGCGTTTAAGGGTTTGGGGTCTACATTCTCTTAGACCAACCAAGAGCCCTACTGTCGGCGACCTCTGCTTCAGTTTCCTTGGGCTTGGGGTTTAGGGTTTAGGGATTAGGGTTTTTCTTAGACGGGCGATCACGCAGATTGTGCCGAAATGCTGCGTGACAGTGCTCGAGTTGTACTCTCGTAAACCAGTAATCAGATACTTGGAGGTTCATGGACAGCTATAAGTAGGACTTTTGGTAATTAGGGTTGGTATTCTAGTAACTTGTAACTTTATTTTATGGTATTCATAACCCTATTTACCTTACGCAAGGTACTTGTAACCCTACTTACAACTACCCATGAACCCCAAGTGCCTTTGCTTTCCTGCTGGCTCAGAAGCATACGAACCCGTAGCAGACACACTGCCGGCATTCAACACCCTAAACCTTTTGAACCCCCCCTTTTCAACCCCTTTATGTGTTCAAACCCCTTGAACCCTTTACAACCCTTTAAACC